CCCCCCAAAACCCCCCAACCCAACAACCCCACAACAACAACAACAATAGCAACAACACCAGAATGGTCATGTGGATGCCTATATCTTGCACACAGCTCCCACATCACCACCACCACCACCACCACCAACAACAACAACAAAAACAACACAGATGGTCTTATGGGTGCCTATACCGGTAACATCAACAACCATAACACCACCACCAGCAACATCAATATAAACACCACCAGCAACAACAACAACAAAACCACCACCACTAACAACAACAACATCACCACCACCACCACTACCAACAACAACAACAACACCACCACCAGCAATAACAACAACAACAACAACTCGTCCATCACCAAATGGTCGTGTAGACCTATATCTCGCACACATATCCCCCACCACCACCACCAACAACAACAACCAAACTCTCCCATGACCAGATGATCGTGTGGATGCCTCTATCTTGCACACATTTCCCACACCACCACCATCACCACAAACACCACCACCACCACCACCACCAACAACAACAACAACAACAACACCACCACCACAACAACAACAACAACACCACCAACAACAACAAAACTCACCCATGACGAGATGATCATGTGGGTGCCTATATCTCGCACACATCTCTGTGCCATCCTCCAGTGTAACAAACCCGTTCTGTGGACGGCCGCACTTGTTCCAGTCGGGGGGAGTCAGAGATTGGAACCCCAGACGCCTGGTCTTGTTGATCCACCTGTCTGCCACCTCTACTGATACCCCTGAGAAAAAACACAACTTTGTTGTTAACCTTTTGGTAAACGTTATTTTGTTTGTTTGATTTTTGGGGGGTTCAGCCAGACAGGGTCGAGATCCTGAAATGTCTCTCTTGCCAGCTGATCGAGGAGGAAGATAGGGAGGCAGAGGTCAGTACTGCTGTGGAGAGGATGATGCTTTTGGGAATACAAAAAGGAAGCGGAAAATCTGGCACCCTTGCTGGAAAGAACAGAAGAACGTTCAACCAGATGTGCACTGGCACAATCAGTAGAAAGACCCTCGGCGACATTTTGGAGAGAGCAACGGAGCATCAATGAACATTCCGTGGAGCAGGGATGTTGCTTTCTGAAACAATGAAACAATGTGAGAAGCAGCGTGGTGCAATCAGGCTCTCGTTAATTTATTGGTATAATCTTAAAAGTTGTTCATTTGTGTTTATTTGGATGCAAAAAAAAATCCATTTATCTTGAATACATGTCGAGATATTTGCGAAAGAAAGAGGTGGGGGTCATCTGTTTTCAGAGGTAAAATTAGTGAGCAAATGGCCGCCAAAGATAATAATTTATTTACCTTAAGAGTCCGTTTTAACTGAAAATTTAAATTTTTTAGCCTTAAATCAACTTTTTAAAGAAAAATCCACACAGAAATGAGTTGAGCCAAAAAACAAAATTTTGATAAAAATTCACAAACCTGCCGAAAAATGCAAGTTTCTTTACTTTGATTATTTTGACGAGAGCCTGATTCCACCACGCTGCCTCACATGTTTGTTTGAGTAAAGAGAGGCACGTCGACACAATAATGATCATTTATTAGTGGTGGGAAAAGGTTGTTTCGTTTTGTTGTGTTGTTTTGTTTTGTTTTGTTTTTTGTTTTTTTAACATGTTAAAATGTTCTGAGAGAAGCTAGGTAGTAATTGGCTGGCTATGTGGTATATTATCCTTTCTGGAAGCATCTGTTGGTTATTTCCCCTCTCGCAGTCCCCTGCTGGGCCAAAAGGAAACACCGACCCTCCGCTAATTTACCCTGGAAGTTTTGAGTGATCAGCCTTTGAACTGATAGGTCTTTGATTCTGTATACTGTCGTTAAGAAAACACGGATCAACATGCTTACCGTTCTTGTAGGTGTATTAAGAAGCAAAACATAAAAACACAAAGAAGCAGACTGAAAGGACAACAAAAACAAAACAAAACGAAACGAAGCAAATACAAAACAAACCAAAAAAAATAAAAAAATATCAACCTCCCTTAACATTAAAAAAATAAAGCTACCCCGCC